TCTTTCTCCCTATCCGTTAACCTTTTTATTCTCTCTGTTTTTGCTCTGTTTTCTTCAATCCCCTTCGCTCACAAAGATCTCCCAATGGCCAACACCGAAGCTAAGTTCCAACAAAACCCACCTCAGAAAACTCAAAACCTCTTTTTTGGAGCCCAAATTTGCCTGAGAATTCTGGCCGTCGCGTCGACATTGGCCGCGACATGGATCATCCTCACCAGCAAGCAATCCATTGAGATCATTGGCATAACCTTCGAAGCTCGTTATAGCTATTCCCCTGCCTTCAAGTAAGATCAATTGCTTGGTCGTCTTTTTTTTTTTATAAGTGAAATGAAAAGGTCGAGATTTTCTTGTTTAAGAGAATTGAATTATTTTTTTTTTTAACAATTCTCTTTTGTTGTAGGTTCTTTGCTTTGGCAAATGCCCTCGCTTGCGCCCTCTCTGCCACGACTCTGTTCCTAGTCTTCTTTTTCCGTCGCATTTTCTTGAACCCGGCTAACTATTTCATCCTGTTCTTACATGATTTGGTATCTATTTTAGGCCCTATCCTATGTTTTCTATGTACATTTTTTTTTCCATGTTAGATTTTAACTTTTATGTTATTGATAAACAAAAATAAATAAGTGAATCTTACCAAATTAGGCTTTAAATCTCTCTCTAAAGTCTAAAATTCAAAATTACTTTTGATATTATCACGCAGTCGTTGTTGTCATTGGTGCTATCTGGATGCGCGGCGGCGACGGCTGTAGGGTACGTCGGGCAGTACGGGAACAGCCACGCCGGCTGGTCTCGGATTTGCGATCACTTTGAGAAATACTGCAAGAGAGTCACAACTTCTGCGGCCTTCTCTTACTTGGCCGTTCTGTTTTTCCTTGTGCTCACCATCTTGTCTGCAAGCAAGTCCAGACAAATTCAAGTCTAGCCAAGACAAGTGTTACTTCTCAACGTTTCTATTCACATGCTTTGGAAGAAAAAGAGGATGATAAAGAGTGTTGTATTGACATTTGCCCTTACCTTGCTAATGAAATGCATTCATCTTTTCTTTTACCCTCATGTTTTACGTGTAATTTTGTATAATACAATATGAAATCTTGTCTAGTCACACTCTTTTTACCTATATGGTAAAAAAAAAGACTTCCAAAAATTTAAAAAGATAGTAAATAAATAAAGAGAAATATCTTAAAATAGTTATCATATGATTTAGGTCTAGGCGTGCCATACTGTTTTTGGAATTAAGCAAAGATTGAAACAAATTGAGAATATGGGTAGACCGTCATAGAATGCCATGACAAATTTTCTGTAGAGGCCACTCAAAGTCTGTCAGCCATTTTTCTGAAGATACCTGTGTCTTGACTTTCTTTGCCAAAGCACCCGACAAAAATTCACAATTCCACCGGTTTTGAAATTCAATTAAAGATTTGAAATGTTAGTGATAATTAAAAAAGAAAAAATGACTGAGATTTAACTTGAGGATCATTTTATGCATCAAGTTCATCAACTACTTTTAAGAGAAGGGAAAGCATATAGAAAGTGGAAACGATTGCTTCCTGTCATTATTATATAAAAAAAAAAAAAAAAAAAAAAAAAAAAAAGGAAGTTGCCGCCTTCTTTTCCGACATTTACATTATGTATATATGTGGGAGTGGTTTTTATTATCATTAGTAGAATGAAGGACTATAATATATTTACGATAGTTACTTTAGGAGATAACAATCTAAAAGATGACAAATTCTCCATTTTAAGAACCAGCTCTCTGTTTATTTACCTAAAAGAAGCCTAAGTCTTCTCAAAGTGAAGCCCAAGTCTTCTTAAAGTTTGACCTCAAAGAAGCATTATGACAAGTGGGAATTGATCCAAATGATAGGCCTAAAACAGCTTTCTGTAGCGGTTTCAGAGATATATGAGTATTATACTAGGTTTTTTATTTTAAAAGAAAGAGATCTTTTACAAGAACTAAGAATAGTAATAGACGAGAATAGTCTAGCAGGTTCTAAGGACTGAATAGATTTCTGGATAGGAGTATCCATAGTGTGTGGGGTTTTCCCTCTTACTCTTCTTCCTTCTTATTTTCTTATATCACAATCTTCTCCTTCTTCACAGGAGTCCTGTGAAGTCGTCGAGCTACCATTTAGACTCTAATACTATAACTGGCCGAGAGCTCCACAAACTATAAACAACAAGAGCCTGTAAAATTGTTTTCTCTTGATAAAGTGAAACAATTTTTTTTTTTTTTTTAAGAGATGCTAAATCAACTTGTACAAAACAATCGATAAATTTAGGACCGGAATCAAGGCAAACTATATAAATAAATAAATAAATATATAACTAACATGTGAGCTATATAATTTTTAGATGCGGGAGATACAGTAAACAGAGCTACAAAAAGCATTGAAGGACACAAACAAATTATACTGTTGTCGTTTTTTCCTCAACAAAAATCGGGGAAATTGTTGTCAATCATAGGCTTCTCTTAAAGTAAATCTCAATTTGCTATGGTTGTAACATTTTATTGTACCTTTGGTTCTCTCTAGAACAGGGAATTTATTTACATCCTCCGCGTAAATTTAAATCTCTCACAACTTGTCCCTTTACTTTTGCAGTCGTTTTCCGTTTCTTGTGTAATGGCTTTTGTCGTTTTCTCTTACAGTGTCGTGTTTTATCTTTCTTGTCGTTTTCAAGTGTATTAATTTTTTATTTTGTTGTCGTTTTTATGACCGCGCCACAAGTCTTCGTCTGTAAAGGTTCCTGTTGTTTCAATATTCACGTCGTTTGCTAGTTTTGCATATTATCATTTTTGTCGTTTAGCATTGATGTTTTTTCTCTATCTTCCGGTCACTTTAAAGTTGCTTCTTAACTGCCGCTTTATCTTTGTTCACTGTGATGTTATTAATCCATTTGCTGTCGTTTCCGTGCAACTGTCGTTTTTCATTATGCTTATTTTTTTTCTCTTTTTTTTTATTTCCCGATTTTCCACTTGTCTCCGTCTCTGTTTGCCCTATGTTCCCATCGCTTGTTACCTTTTTGTCGTTATCCAGTTTTTTCGTTTCTAGAATTGTGTAGTTTTCCCATTTATTGTCGTTTTGGCGAACTGTGTTTTCCCCAAATATTTTTTGTACTATTTCCTGTCTTTTTACCTGTTGTCGTTATTATATTCTCGCATTATAATTTGTATCCTTGTTCATTATGTAGTCGTCATTCATTTACTGTCATTTTTTCACGGTGTTGTCGTTTCTGTGTAGACGCAAGGTCCATTTCTTCCTGAACTTTTTTTTCCCTTGTTTTCAAATTTTGTCGTTACCTTTTTGCCGTCTCTAGAATTCTGTAGTTTTCCCATTTATTGTAGTTTTGCCGAATTATGTTTTTACCAAATATTATTTTTACTATTTCCTGTCTTTTTACCTGTTGTCATTTATTTATGTTCTCGCCGTTATCCAATTTGTATCTTCGGTCATCATGTTGTCGTTCATTTATTGTCGCTTTTTAACTATGTTGTCGTTTCTATGTAGACGCAACGCAAGGGCCGCCATTTCTTCCTCTTTTTTTTTTCTTTTCAAATTTTGTTGTTTCCTTTTTTTTTTTTTTTTTTTTTTTTTTTTTTTTTTTGTATTTTTCTTTCCTGTTTGTTCATTATCCATTTTTCACGATGTCGGATGAACATGTCGTTTTTTCAATACGTCGTTTATTATTTTATATCGTTTCTTCATTTCTTGTTGGTTTTCCTTTCCGTCGTCTGTTAAAGTTTTTGTTGTCTCTTTCTCACTATTTTGTCGTTCTAACATTGTTGTAATTTCCATACAGCTAACGAGTTTTAAGATGTTGTTGCTTTCCCCCATCGTTGTCGTTTGTTCATTTTTGTACGATTTTCTGTTGACTATCATTCTTGAATTTACAAACTTATTCCATTGTTATCTTTACTCCAATAGAAAAAGACATGCAGTGTAATTGGAGGTCTAGCTTATCGATTAACATATCTTTGTTATTGTTGTTAAGGTTTAAAGTTAGAATTCCTTAATCCTTAAGTTTTTTTAAGAAATAATATCTTTCATCAAACAATTTAAAAACAAATAAAAACTGTTATGGTAGTAGCCCCTTTCTCTTTTCATGCTTCAAACCAATACTATCCGTCTGTCATCCTTCATTTTCATGATTGTTTAAAGACAACGAAAGATTAGTTAAGCCACAATCTTTTTTTTTTCCCACAACCTTTTCATTTCTATTATATTTATTTCTTATCTATGATTAATCGAACTTGACCTTCATTTGGCTAAAGGAAGAAGATCCTATAGAAAATAGTAGATTCAGCAGAATAATAAGAATAAACGAAGGAAAAAAAAGGACTACCAAATCCTAAAACAACTCTAGACTTAGAGCTGTCATACGACTTTAACAACTACTGTATTGAAAATGGAACTAAAGAAAAAAGCCGCAAAGGTAGTTAGTCTACCAATCCAAGAAGTCCGAACCAACTTGGGTAAAAGAAGACACTGTTTTTCTATACGACAATACAAATACTATCTTACAAGGGCAAAACGAGTAAGGTAGGTCCTGCTCATCGTATGTCGGTAGCAGCCAACAAATGTGCAAATTTTGGGCGAGTTATGGGAACAAAAGCACATGGTCAAAGAACAAATTCACATGGTTCAGAACCCAACTCCACTCCCACACAATCTGAAACACAGATATATATATATATATATATGTTAGCTAAACGTTAAATTCCTTAGACATCAGTGAATACAATGATATGGCAAATCATTGACAAGAAAAATCTGCTTGAGATCCTAAATGAGTCATGCGATAAGGAAAAAGGATAGGTGGGCTTGAGAGTGGTGTTGTGGTGTGTTGCACCAAATTCAAGTAGCTATTAATGAGAGAATGGGGGGGTTGGGGGTCATATTGGATATTAAGAGTTGTGATGAAGAAATTAGGCAATGAGATGATTGCATATGGTTCTGGCCCACATTGCATAAAAATGGTATACATATTGTTAAGAGGACTACACTACAGCTGCCATATTAATAAGAGTATGATTTTTTTTTTATACATTAGACATATAAGAAGTTCATGACAAACTTATTAGCAATTAACGGTAAAAAGCGATTTTCTTTTTCTGTTATTACAGGAAGTTTGGTTATACAAATCACTACTAGAGGGCATTTGCTGAATCTGCAAAACAAAGAATTTTTTGGTGGAATTTATGAAACAAAAGATGTGAATAAGATATAGACCAGCCAAAGAGAAATCTGATAGCTTGAGGAATCTAGTTAATGTCATAACATTTCACATGGAGAGATCCGAGGTAGGTTTCCATCTCTGACAAACACAGACTGATAGAAGAAAACCCATTTCAAGAAAACAATTCACTTATTATTTCACTGATTTTCACATACCAACCTCGCTTTGCAAATCACAAGAGAAGAAAATGCCCCTTGTGAAAGTCTATAGAAAGAAGCCAATCCATCTTAACTTTCACTGATAAGGATATGCTACCTTTGTGAATTCAATCAAATGAAGTGTACAAATGCAATATAAGCCCAAACACTTGGCTGCAATTTCAATCTATTATTAAGCTTTCAGAGTGAAAAACGAACAAAAAGCCAAAACAGTTAGGTGACAAACCTAAATCATGTCTCTACATCGATGTGTTGATCACGAAAAAGCTAACAATATTTTCTCTACCACAAATAAACAACAATTATCAACAGGGTGAAAGGAAAAAAGTAAACAAAAAGAAAAAAGATCAAACAGCAGAACTATTTTACATACACATCAAACAACAAATCTTCTTCATTTTTCTATACCCTGATTTGCCATTCTCATTTGAAGACAATCTTCTAAACTGTTATTAATCATTAGGGTCAGCCAAAAACACCCCACATCTTGCCACGGCCAAGGCTCTCCAAGAGCTTCTTTGAGCCCTCAACATCCATCTCAACAACCTTCTGCAAGTATGCGCAAGCCCCGGCGGCAACCATCTGCTTCCGGCACTTCTTCGAATGCGAAAGTGAGGCCAAAACCGAGACGGGGTATTTCTTGTCTAGATTCCGAAGTGAGGGATCCAAAAGCTGGACTGCGCTCACAATTCCCTTCTCATCTCTCCGAAAAATCTTTCTATTCACCGTGCACAACATCAACTTCGACAACGCCTTCGCCGCGGCTTCTTTCTCTTGGACGGCCTTTCCGTCCAGCATTTTTATCAGAGGACCAATGCAGCCACATTCCCCCATCTCCTTCCTCGTTCTCGAGCTCGAACCGAGCTCACTAACCGCCCGAGCAGCCGCGATCCTCACCCCTAAAACGCCACAATTCAGCACGCTAACAAGGCGGGCTACGAACCCGTCGGAGCATAGCGCTTCGGCGACCGGCAACAGCGAAGCCAAGTGGCTCAACAAGTCGACGGCGACTTCAAGACTCCGAACCGACGGGGCCGAGTCCCAGAAATTCTTCAAACACTCAATTCCGCCTTCTTTAACTACTAAAAGCTTCAAATTTTCATCACCAGAGATCAAATTGCACAAACATCCGATCGCATTTTCCTGTGCTAATGCCGTCCCGGAGCTCGTGAGCCCCAGAAGGACGGCAATCCCGTTTTCTTCGATGAAATTCTCCTTAATTTCGGCGAAAGCGGCGAGATTTCTCAGTACTCCAGCGGCGGAAGCCTGCGAACAGGGCGTACCGGCCTGGCAAATCTCCAGCAGAGACGAAATTCCGCCTCTTGACCCAATTGCCCTAGCGTTCTCCTTCGAAAAGCTCAAAGCTTGGAGGGCTACGCAAGCTTTCTCCTTGGAGAATCCACTTCCGGAATCCAAAACCCTAAGCAGGTGGTTCAGAAGCAGCAATCCCTCAGCGATCAAGACGTGCTTGCTGCTGTCCACCATCGAAACCCTAGAAATCGCCGCGACGGTCTTCTCCTTCATCTCGACGGAGGAGCTCGAATCGAGGAGGCGGACGAAGACCGGGACGACTCCCTGTGCGACAGCGATCATAACGTTCTTGTCATCCTCTCGCAGGAGTCCTAGGAGGGAATCCATGGCCGAGTTTCTCGACTCGGGGGTCCCAATCTGCAACCGAGTTATCAAATTCCTCGACTCGGCACGTACGGCCTCCCTCCTCGACGACGAGCCGGAGTTACCGGAGTTCGAAACGACAGCGCGGTTGTTGTCGCTGAGAACGCCACTCCTTAGCAGAATCTCCCCGTCCCTGACAACGCGATCGAGCCTGGCGAGCACGGCATCGACGTCGCTCTGCGTCCGGAGCTTACCATCGGCGAGGCTGGGGCTCTGGCACCGCCTGGCGACCGAAATGGCGTCGCTGAGCGCGGCGGCGACGGAGCGGAGGAGGTCGATGGAGAGGGGGTTGGAGGCGGCGTCGGGGGAATCGGCAAAGTCGGCGAGCTGAGGGCGGAGATCATCGAGCTTGGCACGGATGAGGGACCACTTGCCCTTGAAGGTCTGGACGAGTAGGATTTCGTCCATGAGAGAGGAGAGAAGCTCGGTGGAGATGGCGGTTGTGTCGGCTTCTTCTTCCGGTGCTTTCATGGCGGTGGGTTTGCTGTTTCCCTCTCTTCCAACAGAGAAGGAAAGAAAGGGAAAGGGAATGGATAAAGTTGGAATCGGAAAGGAAAAGAGGAGGGATTATTATTGGGAATGAATGAATGAAATAGAGAAGAGAAAGAAAAAAGGAGAGAAGTTTTATGAAGGTGGAGAATCAGAATAGTATGTGTTGGGTTTGGGTAGCGACGGGAGCATCAAAAGTGAACCCAAAACCTGAAGAAGAAATATTAATTGTAATTTATTTTTCCGAGAGATGATTACGTGGACGTGGCCTTGGCTCACGCGCGAATCCCCGAGCGTGATTCCCTCGCTTATTTTCCGTCACGGATTCTGTTTTCTTCTTTCTCTCTCCACCCCTGTTCCCTCACTGTTAGGTAAATTACAAACAAAAAGGATTCTTTTTAGTAAAAATGTTCAGAAAAAAAAAAATCACACTAAAGTGTATTTAAACTGAATAAATATGACATTCGAATTAATGAACTTAACAAAAATATGATGATTCATAATAATACGAGTGGACAATTTCAGTGAATTTTTCAAATACTTTATACTGTTATACGATTATTGAATTTTGTGGTATAAAATATCTATTGAAATATGAGTTCAGTATCATGTGTTATATTAAAATATGAGTTTGGTATTATATGTTTTTAATAATTTAATGTTAGTACCTCGACCTTTCAAAAAATTTTCTTTTAGTACCCCAGGGTAGTTTTTAAGGACAGAAAAGACAAAATTACCTTTATTATTAAATATAAAAAAGCTTTTTAAAAATATTAGACCTACAACTTAACACTTAAACTTTATTCTGTTCCAAACATAAAGCAAAAATCTTGATTGCAGGTTTAAAATGTATTTAATAATATGGACAATTTTATCTTTTCATGTCTCCAAAAACTGCCTTGAGGTACTAAATGAAGATTTTTAAAAAAATCGAGATACCGACATAACATTATTAAAAACAGAGAATATCAAACTCATATTTTAATATAACACAGTATACTAAAATGAAATTTTCCTTTTTTATTATATAGAGTAACATATATGTGGAAAACATGGGTGATATAATACTTAGCGCAAAATTTTAAAAAGTAGTTATTGTACCCTTTTAGCTACATAAAAAAGCATTCAAAACACAGGAATTAGAGAACATAGTCTCAAAAAAAAAAAAAGCATTCAAAACACTCCTAATGATATAATTTTTTTTGGAATATTTATGTTATCTAAATATTTAAAAATTATTAGTTTTAGCTAATTAATTAAAAAGGTATAAAAATATTTCATCTTTAACTTCAGAACAACATAATGTATTATATTTTTTTTAAATCATCAGCGAATTATTATCAAAATCATAAGATCTTTTGTAATAGAAATACATAGTATTAAAATAATTTCTCATATTTAATGTAGTAATAGAGTTTGATACTTTTCTTTTTGAAGAAAGTTTGATACTTGTTTCTAATGTAGTAATACTTTAGAATTTTTCAGGGCACAAGTAAGAAATAATAATAACAAAATTAAGGGGATATAGTACTATTTCCAAACAAGTTAAATGCGCATATGATTATTTTTTATTAATAATTGACCCTTATCATTGATAATGATTCCCCATTTTCATTTATTTGTCTTTTGTGGTGGAAGATTCCTTAACTTGGTGAGTTGGAGCTCCGTTTGCTTTTATCTGGTGCGTGCATTACACGACCGAGTTGAAGCACGTGGAATCTGGCTGAAACGGCTCAGCGATTGGGAATTGAGCCGAAAGCTGACTCGGAGACTCTCTTTGGCTGGGTCGAAGTTAATGACACTCGGAGAAAGAGAGTGGGGGGCCCACTCGTCTCACAATGATACGTTCTTTTTACGGCCTTTATGAGGTCTTCGTGACAGCTAGGACAGCCAAAGTTCTTGACTTTCTAGAGTCGACCGAGAGTAACTCTACGTGAAAATTTTTTATTATATTAAAAAATTAAATGTAATTATTTTTTAAATATTTTTTTATTATAATAAAATTTAAATTGATAAAATAAATAAAATTTTTATATTTTTAATTAAAAGAACTAATAATTTAATTAAAATTTAACTTTTACCCATTCTAATCATTAACTAAATAATTAATTATTTTAGATAATTAATTTCATATCAGTTAAATATAACTAATAAAATATGACTAACTATTTGATTTTTGTATTATTTTATTATTTCAAATCATAATAAAAGTAATTTTTTTTAAATTTAATAAAATTATTTATATTTTTAAACTTAATAAGTATTAAAATAATTTATACTTAGCTAAAATATGGAGTATAGTTGGATTGTATTACTTAAAAATTGTTATTTAAAATAACTTTCTACTTATTTTAGTTAAAATTTAAAGAGCTCCTTTAAAGATCCTATAAGTAGGCTTTTTACTGTCTCACCCCGCTTTCTATAAAAAAAAAAGATAAAATTATAGAATTTTATCTTTAAGAGTGCATGAGTCTAAATTTTATCATTCATTCTTAACTAATACCATTCTATTAGTATAGTTATTTGACCAAAAAGATTAATAATCAAGAATAAGAGATAAAATCTTGATTCATGTACTTTTAAGGGGTATTTATCTCTTTTCCTCTAACATTTATCTACTATTAATATGGCTAGGTAACCCTTTTTTTTTACAACAATTTTTAAGATTTGTTTAGATGTCCCTTAGATTAGATATTCACTCATACTACTTCAAAGAGAAAATTTAAAGTTTAACCATTGTTTTTTTTTTCAACATTATTATTTATACCACTACACAAAATTTTAATACCATTAAGGAAAATAACCTACAGATTACGAAAAATAACCCGCAGAAAATGAAATAATACCCTACTAGTTATTAATAGCATAAGATATATTTAACAACAATTACATAACTAAAATAGTGTTACTTTATTGATGATATTTTTAAAAATTCCCCTACTTTAAATATGTGTGAATTAAGCCTAAATTTTCAACAAAAAAAAAAAAAGGGAATTTGATATCAAATCTATAAAAGTCTTATTTCTATAATTCGGGTATAATTAACCTTAAATTTTCTGTAAAAATCATTAATTTGAAACATATCTATAAAAGTGTATTCGTGGTATTCATCCAATATATCTCATTTGTCTAATCCTTAAAAGCCCACACTCGGTTCTATTAAAGAAAAATAAGATTTTTTTATTATTATTTTAAGGAAACGTATAGAAATTTTATTTTCTTTTTTGGTGAAAAAGGTTAATTATCAAAATTAGATATTCATTAGACAACCTAAACACGAAAAAATTAGGGATAATTGGCAGAATTAGTACTTAATTTCTTGTGTCAGTTTTACCAAGATTGAAATCAACAATGTAATAAGTTGTTACTTGTCGAAATGAAAATTTAAAGATGAAAGTGTTACTTATCAAACAATACAGGGACTTGATTAAGCTAATTCCCCCTCCCTAAAATTTCGCGTGTTTTGAAAACTTGTCCTCTAAACGACATTAATTTAAACAACATTCCAGCAGTTTGACAAGTTCACAAGACTAATTTCTAAAACTATTTAAAATCACTTCTCTAACATCTCTTTAGTTAGAATGCAACGAAATATGAGGCATACTTTTGTTAATTTGTTCCAATTTTAACCCAATCTAATGGTAGGTGTGACAATTTTAAGGGAATTGACCGTTTGAATTGCAAAACTTTTGTAACATGCCATTTCACTAGTAACTATGGACACAATTTTATTTGTTGTGTTTAGAGTTATTTTTGTTTTTATTTTTCACGTTTTTTGAGAAAGAAAAATGAGAATGGGAGAGAAATGGCGTTTGAAACAATTAAAATAAAAAAACGGAAATAAACGATGTTTTGGTTTAGTGTAAAATGAGAAAGAAATAAAAAATAATTTTTAGTCGTTTTTCATTTTCTCATTTCTCGAGTAGAGAGAGACATTAATAGATTTTTTTATACTGAAAACAATCTCTTTATAAAACTACCAAATACATTTTTAAAAATAATTTTTATCTAAAATTGAATACATTTTTATTTCTATTTTCATACAAAAAAATAAAATTATTTTAAAACAAATACCAAACAAACCCATTACTTTTTTTCTCCTAATTTTCACCCTGATTCATTCAGATTATTGAGTCCAATGATCTGGGGCGGTGAGAATGGGTTCGGTGTGGCGTTCTTGCCTTCTTGAACATGTCGTATACTTGTATATGTACTACGAGCACTGTCGTTTGGATTTGGCTAACGACATAAACGCATTTGTCAATGATAGGTAAGAATATTGCTTTGAAGTTTGACCCTTATTAATAATGCTATCTTACTCACCAAGTAAAATTCGCAACCAATGTGTTGTTCCACTAACCTTTTTTATTTTGTTTTGGACTATATCTATTTGGAATTTTCGATGAGAGAAAGAATGATGTTGGAAAATTCACAGCCAATTCAATTGGGTTCAATACTATTATTTTTTTTTGCAAGTTTGTATTATATGCAACCAATAATGGTATGGGGAATTTAAGAGAGAATGGCTAAAAAGAAAAATAGACCTGTCGTTTTTCTTTTGGGAGTATAAACTTGTCGTCTTTGTTACTAAAGAACAACATTTTTTTTTAAAAAAAAAAACGTAAAATAAGCCAATAGTGGTTTTATAAATATTTTAATAATTTATTAGTTTTGTACGATCCTATGATATAACACCCACAACACAAGTTTTTTTGTTTTTTTTTTTGTTTTTTTGTTTTTAATTACACCCACAACATAAGTTGACATGCATGCTTGGATAGGTAGATTGATAGTGAGGTGCCTATTCGAAAAAATAAAATATTGAAACTGCATTATCATTATTTTCTGTTGGCGAAGATATTATAAAAAATATTTAAGATATATTATTTTAGGGATGGAAAATTCCTATTAGTCCAAAAATGTTTTCAATGACCATTCCGAGCTGTCCCTGTTTCTAGTGCGAACATTAACATAAAATAAGGACTGGACTTCACATTTTGGACTAGAAGTGAGATTATATCGGAATGTAAGCTATTAGAATTCTAGATTGGCCGGAGATATTGGCATGATCCACTTAATAAGGTGAGAACAATCATTCCCTAACAAGCCAGTTTTGTCAGGTTGAGTTAGGCATAATATCATTTGATTTCTATAAAATTGTATTAGAGCATGCTCAATTTTGTAATGTTGGGTTCCCTAATATTGACTTATTCGCAGCGGTTTGGCATGGTCCACGCTGTGCGTGAGGGGGCGTATTAGAATCCCACATTAGCCGGAAATATTAGCATGATCCACTTAATAAGGTGAGGACAATTCTCCCCTAACAAGCCAGTTTTATCAGGTTAAGTTAGGCCCAATATCCTTTGATT